CGATTACCCCAGTCACTGAATCAATCCACCTCATAGAGGGTCTTCCCCTCCTGCGCTGTCCCTCTACTCTACCCAGCATGATGTCCCTCTCTAAATACCTGTCTCTCCTTACAACATGTCCAAAGTATGTCAGATGAAGCCCCAGAATCCTTGCCTCCAAGGAGCAGCCTGGTTTAACCCTTTCTAGGATGAATCTGTTACAGAAATAAAAAGCATTGTAAATCAACTAAAAGAAAAGAAAAAAGAAATAGAGTCAAAACTCATAAAGGTTTTAATCTATTTTTCATTCTTGGATAATATTAATAATATTTCTGGTTTGTTCTGTTTGCATTTTCAACATATACTAATAAGATTCTTTGTAAATATTTATTTATTTATTTATAAATAAAATGGCCATTTCCCCCCTACTTTTTTCTTGAATGATGAGTAAAATGAGAAATCCATAAATCTTGTGGAAAAGAGTAAGGGCATTTCCAACAAGAAAAAATAAAAATTAATTATTCAAAATATATCTGTGATTAACTTCTGGATATGTTGCCTGGATAATAACAGTTTTAGTAAGCATATTTGGAAAGATTAAAATGCTTACATTTGGAATATTACTGCTTTTCATTTTGTATATGTGGTTAGAGTCTTGCAAGAAAGGATTTTCCAGTCTGCAAATAAGATAATTAATCATGTAATTATAAAATAATGCCAACATTGATGGGAAAAAACAAAAAAAGGGCTAATCCTTGAAAAAAGGCATCATGCTGGGGAAGGTGTAGGGTCAGCGAAAGGGAGGAAGACCCTGAGCCACATGAATGGACACGGCGATGGCAGCAGTGGGCTTGGGCCTGACGGGGATTGTGAGAGGAGGGGCAGGACCGGGCAAGGTTCATGGGGTTGCTGTGGGTTGGCGCTGACCCCAGGGCACCTACCAGCAATACTGTCCCAGTTCACTGGCATGCCTCAGAGCCAAAGCAGAAGTCGTCCTTGGAAAGCAGTTATAGCTTCAAGCAATTACCTCCATCCTTGGCAACTCAACACACACGAGGTTTCAATTTTATTTTGTTTTATATTATCTCTATATTCCGTTTGCTTGGCTCCCCAGTCAACACTCTTGGCACCGGCAGCCAGGAAATTAAAAGACAAATTGCATTGGGAAAGTCTCCTGTCAGAGACCTCTCCAAAGTACTGAAGAGCAATGATGTCAGTCTGGAGACTAAGGTGCAGCTGATCCAGGCCATGGTCTTTGCAATCACTTGTTATGCATCAGAAAGCTGGACATTGACTAGGGATGATAGAAGGAGAATTAATGCCTTTGAGCTGTGGTGCTGGAGAGAAGTATTGAATATACCATGGACTGCTAGGAGAACAAACAGGTTTGTCCTGGAGAGGGTGAAGCCAGGCTGCTCCTTGGAGGCAAGGATTCTGAAGCTTCGTCTGACATACTTTGGACATGTTGCAAGGAGGCACCAGTCCTCGGAGAGGAACATTATGCTTGGGAGGGTCGAGGGACGGCACAAGAGGGGAAGGTCCTCTATGAAGTGGATTGATTCAGTGACTGGGGTAATTGGGGTGGGTGTGTCAGAGACAATAAGGTTGGCACAGGATAGAGCAGGGTTTAGGGCTGTTGGGCATAGGGTCACTATGAGTCGCAGGCCACTTGACGGCACATAACAACAATATTGTAAAGATTCCTCCTCCCCCACTCCACTTGGTCTTCCTTCCAGTACACACAGGTCCATTTCGAAAATTTTAAACAGAATAGTGTACTTGAGAATGTACGAAAGTTTTGTTTAGTGCATTCTAAACAAATCATGGTTGGAAAGACAGAAGGTCAGCAAAAAAGAGGCAGACCCTCCATGAGATGGATTGTTATGACATCTGTGGCAAGTGGCTCAAGTGTGTTGGGGATGATGAGGATGGCCCAGGATAGGACAGGGTTCAGAGCTGCTGTTCATAGGGCCGCTGTAAGTCATACTTGACTTAATGGCACTTAACACCAACAACAACTACAACAAAGTTTTGTTACTTCATTATTAAAGAACATTACAATTGTGATTTTTTTGCTACAATGAACAAAGACTTCTGAATAAAAATAGTAGGAATATTTGCCCTGTCACTTATCAAAACATATTATTAAGCCACAATAATTAAAAGGGTGTGGCAGCAGAGAGAGGACCCAGTGCAAACCCCTCCCTGTGTGTATGTGGGGGGGAACCCGACTGACTGTGACCTTCTCTAGGGATTCTGAGGCTATAAATCACTGTGGGAGGAGATTGCCCACCTTTTTCTCATGAAGATCTACCAACAGCCCTTTGGCTACTAGTCAGACATGCTACCCACACCACCACGGCTCTCTTATACAGATTACAAATAGAGTAAAATCGAAAAACTAGAAACTGACAAAGTAGAAACAAGAAGTCTTTATTACAAATGCTGCATTTTAAGTACATGGGAAGAGAATGAATGATTCCATTAGCGATGTGATGATAACTGGCTACAGATAGGGAGAGCACAAAGCCAGGTCTCTCACATCTTTCACCAAAACAAAGTCCAGAATTATGGCAAGGCATTTAGTTGAGATGCAGAGAGCCATGTACAGTGTAAGTGATATTTCTGAAATGGCCAGGCCTTTGTGCCCTTGATACCAAAAGAAGGGCCACCCGCTGATAATTCACAAAAGCATAAAAATTATGTATACCCCTGCACTCTCCTATACAAAATTATCAGACAAACCACAGATTGGAGTGGGGTGGGGCTGGGAAATGTACCTTACTGGAAAGGCCATCTATGGTTTTAAATGGAATCAGTAAAAGGTGAACACCCAACAGAAAAAAAAAAAAAAAAAGCTCTGAACAGGCTTAAACTTAAAATAACCAAACACCCTGCCATCGAGTTAATTGGGGCTCAGAATGACCCTCCGTCGGGTTTCTGAGCCTGTATATCTTTCTGGGAGGAGACTGAGCATTTTTCCCCCAGGGAGCACTGGGTGCATTTGAATTCCTGACATTACAGGTTGGCAGCTTGACAGGTAATGTACTATTCCACCCGGACTCCTTAACAATAGTAATGAAAAATAATAATGCCCAAGGAATATGAAAAGATGTGCAAACCTGAGAGTTAGAAAATAATGCAAAGGAAAACAACTTAATGCTGTGTGTGTGTGTGTGTGTGTGTGTGTGTGTGTGTGTGTGTGTGTCTCAGGAGGGCAGAGCAAAGGAGAGGAATTGTTTTTGATGTGCTCCCAGCGTAGACCAACTTCTGTATCTTGAGGGGAGCACGAGGTGGACAGGATTTCTGGAGGGAGGACAGCTGGGCAGTTTGGACCCAAAGTCCTAAGATGTGCGCCCCCCCTCATTGATCATGTTCTTTGTGCCCCCCCTCATTGATCATGTTCTTTTCACTTGGTGGCATGGCTTAGCTCAGTGATTCTAGAGTCAGCGTGTGTCCAGCCCAGGTCTCCTCACCCCTCTTTACTCTGGTCCCACCAGGCTGGGACCACATTTCACAGATAGTGGCTTCTCTCTGTCCCCCAGGGTTCCCTGTCATTTCTCCAAGAACCAACGGGGAACGCCGTGAGTGTATAAACACCCTCTTACTTCCCTTCTCCCTCTGTTCTCTGTGTTGTGTCTGGTTTTGGGAGTGTCTATCGAGGTGAGGCGCTTTCCCACCCTGCCTGGGGCTGCCAGTACCTGAAGAGGCATGCGCAGTCCAAGGTCCTAGCCACGAGATTCTGGCCACCCGGTTTCAGCACCCGCAGGCCTCCTGCCTCGAGCATCCGAGGCAGTATCTGTTCATCTGCACCAAAGTCTGCAGAGGACAAGCAGCTGACACAAGTCCTCAAAGAGCCAGAAAGGCCCCAACTTCACAATAAGCTCAGCTTCACTTCAGTCTCACCATAAAGAAAATCAATCAAATAAACCTTAAACCAATCCCACTGCCTTGGAGTTGATTCCAACTCCTCGTAGCGACCCTAAAGGACAGAGAAGGGCACCTTAAAGAGTTTCTGAGGCTGTAACTTCATAATCGAGGTGGTTTCATCTTTCTCCCTCGAGCAGCTGGTGAGCTCCACCAGCAAGCTTTCTGGTGAACAGTCACAGCGCCACCAGTCCTTCTTCTCGGAGAAACAAAGATGAGACGAAACAGCAAAGCAAAGAACCTCATCAAAACCCCAACTACCTAGGGAGCGCCGGTGGCCTAGTAGCAAGAAGCTGCACTGCAATCCCAGAGGTACGCGGTTCGAATACTCTGCTGGAGAAGGAGGGGCAATCTCCTCTTGTACTAGTCAGATCTGATTTGACTGTACACACGCAAAAATAAAAAAAATAAAAAACCCCCAACCACCCTAGCGGGAAGGAACAGTGAGCGTGTGTGGAAAGTCCTGATATTCTGTGGTCACTGCTGGGCCAGTGCTGACCCTTGTGTGTGTAGAGGTTAAGGCTGATGGCCAGGCCTGCCTTCTAAGAGGTCACTACGTGGGTTTGATCCACCAAGCTTTTGGCTAAGAGTGGAGCGCATACCATCAGTGTTACCCTCTTTAGTACTTGAGGATAGAAGCCTGTGTTTGTGTGTATGTGTGTCTCAGGGCGGGGCGGGGGGGGCGGTTTGTTGGAAGCCAGTGGGAGGCGAGTGGTTGATGGGTGGACTTAATTTCCCAGGTCCCCACTTATTTCCGTGAACACACTTCTCCTTGGCTTTGTAGAGTGACTGGGACGGAACCAGAGGCCAGCAAGGAGAGATGTCTAGGTGGAGAAGCAGGCTGACCCCTTCCCTGTACCCTCATGTCCCATTCTCCCGGTGAATCTGGGGGTCTCAGCACACCTCCCTGGGCCTGCCCACCTCCCATGGGGGCAGCAGGAGGTAGTCTTGCTGTTTCATGGCTTTGAAGAGCTGAACCGCTGGTACCTGGGGTGTGACTGGACCTGGGGTTTTCTTGTTCTGGTCCAGGCCCCCAATCTCAGGGCAGGGGTTCGGGGAGGAGGGCTTGCTCCGGGGTGAGAGTGGCCCAGACCCAATGCCTGGGAGGAAGCAGTAATCACCCACCTGCTGCAGAACAAGTAGCCCCTCAGGATGGGGGGACCCAGGGGTCTCTTGGGCCCGGGACTCCCCTGGGCTCAAGACTGGGCTACTGTGTGTAGGAGAAGTGAGACAGCCACCAAGATGGGACTTGGGGGACTGGCCATCATTTGGAGGAAGCCCCACATAGCCCTCAGTTCCCGGCTGTAGGGGTTTGGGGACTCCAGAGACCCCACTGGCCAGTCCAAGACTGGGAGTGAGGGTCTCCTGGGAGGGGGGACCCAGAGGTGGAACCAGGGAGACAGATGGGGCCCCCAGAGGTGGCAGTGGCGTGAGAGCCACTTCTGTGGTAATGACATAATCAGAGGTCAGAGCTGCTGGGCTGTCCTTTGGGCCTTGGGTATCCACCACAGGCTCGGCTGGAGAAGGGACAGGGGCTTCTGACTCTGGGGAGGCACTCTCATTGGCCCTGGGGCTGGGCTGCATCTCAGCATCCATGGCCTGGCTCTGCCTCATGGCCTGGGCCAGCGGGACCAGGTGTACCTGTCCCCCAGCAGGTAGACACAGGTACTCCAGGGATCCTGCTGGTGGTGACTTCTTGTTCCTGTCTGTATTGGGACATGCCAGCTGGCCCCAGATGTCCGGCAGGGAGCAGCTCTGGGGTGACCTGATGTAGGGGCCATTGAAGTCGAAGGCACAATCCTGGCTTTCAGGCCTGCCTGAGGGGGTGTCCAGGCTGGGCTCGAGGCTGGAGAGCTGCTCTGTGCCCTCGCAGGCGGCTGGAGTCATGTCAGCCCCCGATGAGGAGTCACAAATGTCTTTGGGATTCTCCACGGTAAGAGGTGACACATCGCTTTCATACTGTACAGGGAACACCCTGTCAAGAGGACAGAGGTGAGATGCTGGGACCACTTTGGGCCAAAGCCTCAGACAAAAGACGTCACGACACTGGCAGCCAGAGCACAGAGTGAATGCAGACAGAAGTGGGGCCACACAGAAGGGGCGGAGCCAGAAAAAAGTGGGGCCAGATGAAAAGGGGGAGACAGACAGAAGGGGTGGGGCATACAGAAAGGGCGGAGCCAGACAGACAGGCCGGAGCCAGACAAAAATGGGGCCAGATGAAAAGGGGAGCCAGACAGAAGGGGCGGGGCCAGAGGGAAGGGGCGGGGTATACAGAAAGGGTGGGGCCAGATAGAAGGCGGAGCCAGATGGAACAGGCAAGGCCAGGGGAGGAATAACCAATAGACCCAGTTTCCTCAGGGTTAATTAGTTCCCATTTGGTTCCATGACACACCATTCCCCCTTCAGGCTCAGGCTGGGGCCAGCCTGTGTACCACACACCCAGTCACTTTCTCCTCCCTCCTTCCCATCAAGCCTGCCATTAACTTTTCTGAGCCAGGTCAGCGGTTGTGTGCAGACCCTCTCCCCCTCCACAGGGTCAGGAGGGCTCTATGGCGCAGCCCCTACAGGCAGCCACACAGGAGAGAGAGCTCCCACTCTAGCTCTCTGCCTCAGTCAAGTCCATTATCTGACACTCTGCTAACCTGGGTCTCTGGAAGTTTTTCCTGGTGTCTAACTGCAGAACCTGCTGCTTTAGGGCAAACCAGCCTTCCTGTGACCAACTAATCCGAGCCCCTCATGTGTAGAATAGGGTTCCCTTCACCCTTCAACTAGGCACTCACCTGTCCACCTCGGGGACATGGCTGTCCCACGGTCCCTTATATAGGAGGTTCCTGCTGGTGGAGTCTGATGGGATATTTGGGAGCCAGAAACCTGTACCATTCTTCTGAGAAGAGAAGGCACAGAAGGAAAACTGCAGGGGAAACTGTTGAGGGGTAGAGCTCTTGGGGAGAGACCAGAGGGGTGCGGACAGCCTCTTAGACAAGGGAGGGTCTCCACCTCCTCAGGACCACTCTGCCTTTCAGAAACCAGGAATGTGGGGAAGCAGGGAGGGCTTCTGGGTGGCTGGGTCCCCCAGCAATTGAGGGCTAGGCGCCATTCCCACCAGCCCTCTCACCTGGGGGTCCCTCACGTCACACACACTCTTCTTGACCTTCCTCACACACACTGGCCGGGAGACCCTTCCATGCCAAAGGAGCCCCACATTCACTGACCAGAGAACTGTGTCACTAGTGTCACCACCTGGTCACCATGGTCTGGCCCAGCCTCATGGCCACTCCCTCCTCAGCCCCCGTAAATGTCCCCTGTCCTGTCTCCTACCCAGTGTCCTCCACCTGCAGGGACTCTCCCACCATCCCACTTGGACTACTGGCCCCTCAGAACAATGCCATGCTCTGTCCCCCAGCCCTCCTTGGAGCCAGCCCAGCCCATGTACACTGGGTCTCAGGCTGGGAGCCCCAGGAAGGAGAGAGATGAAACGCTGACACTTGGAGCCCACAGGAAGGGGAGGATGGCTAGAAACAGGGGGGCAAGAGCAGAGGAGCCCCCACTGTACCCCCTGGCTCCCTACCAGGCCCTACCTGGAACAGCTGGCTCTTGCTGGGGTTGGGGATCTTCTCCTTCCACTTCTGGTTCAGCCTGGAAAGATACCAAGGAGGTGGCAGCTCTGAGAGCTCAGGGCCAGCTGCTCCCACAGTCAGGGACAGAGGGGACACTGATGCCAGGGAGGGGGTATGTGTCCACAGGGGCTGGTGACAGAGCAGGGACTAAGGGAGGGATTCCCTGAGCCCTCAGGGCCCTGGGTTCCCATCCCACCCACCCACTCACCTGCCCCGTGGAGCCCCTACCTGTACCAGAGGCCACAGCAGCGGAGGGCGGGCAGCAAGGCCAGGGTGATGAGGACCAGGATGAGGGCCAGCACCCACATGGGCAGCACTTGTGGGCACAGGAGAAAAGGGGTGTTAGCATCTGGGTGGGAAATGCTGGAGGCCTGGGTGGAAGACAGGGGCCCTTTCCCACTCAGTTTCCCAGGGTGGGGGTCAGATGGAAGTTGGGGGGACCTACCGCATTCATTCTCCCAGGGTGGGGGTCAGGTGGAAATTGGGGGGCCTACCACACTCAATCTTCTGGGGTGGCAGGTGGAAGCCGGGGGCCTACCCCACTTAGTCTCCCAGGGTGGGGGCAGGTGGAAGCCTGGGCACCTATCCCACTCAGTATCCTTTGGGGAGACAGGTGGAAGTTGGAGGACCTACCCCATTCAGTCCCCCAGGGTGTGGGTCAGGGGAAGCTGGGGGCACCTACCCCATTCAGTCCCCCAGGGTGTGGGTCAGGTGAAAGTTGGGGTACCTACCCCACTTAGTCTCCCAGGAACAAGCTTCACTCCACTCGCTCCAAATTCCGTTGTAGCCGCCTGGCTTGGGCTTGACCCTCACTCTGGCCCAGTACCTGGTGGCCGGGTCTAGGGGTGGCAGCGGCATGCTGTGGGCACTGTCCAGGGTCTGTGTCTTGCTCTCCTGTGGGCGGGGTGTGAGGAGGGTGTCTGAGGCCGTGGCTCTTGGCTGCAGTGGGCACAGCTGTAAGCCTCACCCATCTCCACACCACCTGGGCTCATGGCCAACCCTTTAATCCACAGGTGTGTGATTTTATGCATAGGGACCCCATTCAGTGGACACAGGGCAACGCCAAGGCCCCCAGATGTCTTTGAACCCATATACCTTAACTTTCTGGCAGCCTGACCTCCGTCTATGGTACCCTGGACTTGGACACAGTTTCTCATTGTCCTGCCTGAGTTTACGGGCTGGCTCTGTGGACTCTGGTCTAGGCTCCCAAGCACCCCAGGATCTACCCACAGAACCTGAGGGTAGCCTCGGATTGAGGGAGAGACTGAGCTCTGGCCTGGATCCCCCTGCTCCAGAGGATGTCATCTGCTCTCAGCACTGCAAACTGGGGTTCTGGAGAAGGGTTCCCTGGAGGAGGGAGAAGGGTTCCCTGGAGGAGGTCCCTGGGGCTTCACAACTGTTGAACCCCCTATCTTCAGCCCCTGTCTGCACTGGCTGTGTGACCACTGTAATGCATGAGCACCTATGTTGGTTGTGATCAGGTCATGTCATCTCTGCAAGCCTTGGCTCCAGTACCAAGACGTGGACAGTAACGTGCTGGCCACACAGTGCCGTGACCACACCAACGGGGCCACCCTGCTGCATGCATCCTGGGGATTAGGAGCTGGGCAGGTGGCAGCTGCCCGCATGAGTTTTTCTCCTTTTCCTGCCCTCCCTAGCCCCACACCCTCCCGTACCCAGGCCCTCACCTTCCAGGTGTCCGTGTCCTTCCTGTACTGGACCTGGAAGGTGTGCCCTATGTGCAGGTAGTACTGCTTCTGTGTCTTCCAGTGCAGGACGTAGTCCTCTCTGTCTTTGGTCACGTTGATGGTCGGGCGGTCCAGCTGGACTGCAGAGAGAGAGAGCTCTGATTCAGGGGGAGGTCCAGCTTCCACCAGCAAATACAAAATACCCAGCATTCCCTGCTCAAGCCCTGGCCTGGGGCCCTGAGACCCCAGGTGCCTCCCATCTTGGGGTTTTTTGTGCCTTTCTTTATTATATTAACCTCTGTTTTGACCCAGATACTGAAAAGATACTGAGGTACATGTGTCCTAGATGGCCCAAGGCCTGTGCTACTTCTGGTACTGAAATTAAAGTAATTCCAGGATTAGCTGCTTTCATCTCTACCACACTGACCATGTTCCAGGGACATACATGCCCACGCTGTAGAAATTATTTTGTTAAATTCTAACAACAGTTCTGTGTTGTGGGGACCATTAACTCTTCCTACATGCCTCTGAAAACTCTATAAACGTGCAGAAATTATGTTAGTTATAGAACAGAGTTCAGGTCTTCTGTGCAAGGGTCACTAGGAGTCTTATTCGACTTGATGACACTTAACCACTGCTAAATGAGGCTAGTGTTGTTATATCTGGAGGAATACTCTTCGACTTTGCACACCACTCTTGCCAATGTGCTGTATGAAATAACCTGGGTTTGCTGTGATGCTAAACCTTGTGTCATTGGGGTATCAAATACCAGAATGATTTCCCAATGTGGACAGTGTTTGGTGGAGCTCCCAGATGTAAAAAAATGTTTGGAAGGAGGCATGGCATCCACTTCCTACACCACGTGCCTCTCGAAACTCTATGAACTTGGAGAAACGACGAGAGTTATGGAAAGGCATTAGGTCTTTTGTTCGTGAGTTATGAATCACTATGAGTCGTGCTCGACTCGATGAAAATCAACAAGAACATTACAGGTGCGGCAACAGAGCACAGAACCATCAAGTCATTTGCTGAAGGGCAACGGCTAAGCCGAGGGAGGGGTCAGCTGTGATTTCTGCGGGGTGACCCCAGGGTCCTTGGCTGAGCCACTCCCATACTCTGCCTCAGAGTCTCAATTCTGGGCCCCCAGCCCCTGACACCCCCAAAATCTTAGGGCATATCTAGCGACTGGGCCCTCCTCCCAGGATCTCATCACTGAAACCCCTCAAGTACAGGCCTTCACCAACACCCAAGGGCTCTTTTGCCCACTCTCTCTAGGTGCCATCAGCCTGCGGACCCCTTGCCCACAGCACCCCGTGCTTGGGCAGCAGAGCAGCAGGCTGGGAGAGGTAAGGGAAGCCGAGACAGGAGAGACTGGGAACAGCGTTGTGAGTTCTAGACTCCAGTCCTGGGTCACCTCTGACCCACTGTGTGGCCTCCGGCAAGACCCTGGACCATTCTGAGCACTTCTGTTACACATCAAAGGCTATGCCCTTCCTTCCTGAAACCTGTCCACGCTGAGTGACCTTGCTGGTACTTGAAATCCTGGTGGCATTGTTTCCAGGGTTGACCTGGTGCCAGAAGATGAACCCCCTCTGGCTGGAAGGTCAGGAGGGTGTGGCCAGCAGCAGAGATTTCTCTGAGCAGAGATGGAGAGGAACGTGCTGCGAATGAACGTTATCTATCCATGTCCCTTCCTCCGTGTTTTGGCAACGGTTGTATTTACTGCCTCTTGACTTGTTTTTGTTGATTTTTGGTTCCTGCACTGCGTTTCTTTAGAAGTGACAGAGGTAAAGATTGACCCACCAGGAGCGCTGTCCCGAATCCACCCCCACGGGCGGCCCCGGGGAAACTCACTGTGATCCGAGCTCTTGATGGACTGCTCCTCGTCCTTATGCCGCACGGACACTGTGTACTGGCCGTGGGCCTCCGGGTCGGGCACGGGAATCTGGCACCGGTGCCGGGTGTAGGGCCCGCTGAGCGGCTCCTTCAGCACCGGAGAGCACTCCTCCTCCCTGGGGAGCACGGAGAGTGAGAGAGGAGGGCCCGGGAGGAGGGGGAAGCGGGATGAGCTGGGGC